CATTAAACTACAGGTGTAACGCTGACAGAAAGTATAGTCCTACTTAGTATTTGACTTTATATACAGAGTTAGGCAAAAGTCTGGAACCCTCCAGTTAACTTTTTAACGCGTTGCAATAGGAAAACCAAACTCGGCACATATTTACAACATAAGAAATTGCACTTTTTCTACAAAGTTACAACTTTGCCCCAGCCCCCAAAATGGGGTATTTTGGGGGCAGTCCCAAATTTTCAAATGTAAACACCTATCATGTGACCCCTCATTTTAAAGGGTTTCTCAAGATAAATAAAATGGCGCAAACTAGAGGTCAATATCGCACCCCTAATCAAAATTACAGTCATTAAATGGATATTTTATAGACTATAATTAAGCACTAATTTTCCAAATTAAATATTAAACCTTCTTTTTACAACCTAGGTGCTTGATGTGTTCTCTCTGGACTGTATGACGAGTCCCATTCTAGTATAAAAATGTGCTGTGGCTGATTGAAAGTACTCTATTGGAACTCGAGTTTAGTTTGTGCCATTTAATTTGTCTTGAGAAACTCTTAAAAATGAGGGGTCACATGAAAGGTGTTTACATTTGAAAATTTGGGGCTGCCGGGTACAAGTTCTAACCTTGATGAAAAAGTGCTTAAAAACCTATTTACTTTAGGTGTTTTATGCTATTTTCCTTGGTTTAATCTAATCAGTGGTGTGGCATAACACAAATAATACATTTATCAAATAAAGTAAATATGAACTGAAAGCTATGTTAAGATAAAATAAGATTATTTTGTATTACCATTTGATAATTAAATATAGTTACACATATACAACCGATTTTAGAACACAAAAATCAACGACGTACAATTTAGATATTGATGATATTCTTTAATTTAATTCAAGCATAGGTTTAGCAAAACACAATAACTAAATTTACCTAAATATACACATAAAAAAACAATGTGATGTGCAAATTATGTTAAGTTAATCTAACACATGTTAAGCAGTTCGAATTTATTTAAAGTAGCCTCCAAAGTCATACAAAATATCTATACATTGTAATTTTCTTACTGTTTCCATGAAAGTATATCAATAACTATTTTAATAACACTTAAGACACTTTAAAAATCGAAAGCAGAGCCTGAGTTGATACAGCACCGCTTTTAAAATATTTCTTTTATTTATATATTTATTGACATGGTTTTTGAATAAATGATCTTTGATAAATTTTTTTGATTAAATAAACCAACCACATAATTGTGTGAAATATATTTTAACTACAGCCGTTTCAGTACAGTTCTTAGAATTGAAAAGTATCTCATAACAGCATTGTTTACTTTCATAACAGCATAGTTTTACCACAGAAAACAGACTGTAGTATGTTTTCTGTGGTTTTACTCATAACAACACGGGTAACGGACCAATGAGATTCAAGGATTGAGAGAGGAGAAGCAAAATTGTAATGATTCGAAATTCGACTAATCAGCTGTTCACGCCAATTTAATTGTTGATCGGTGCAATGATTAGTGAATTAGTGTTTGATTCCTTGCTTCACTGTCAGTGGCAATGAGAGGTTATAAACAAAAACATAACCTCCCTTTCAAGTTATGAGTAGTGATTTTTAGTAATTAAAACACCGTCGTAGGTAAAGTAGTGTACACAAGTCGCGTAAATAGTGTTAACGACACTCGTAGAAGTTTTTAAGGCGCTAAGGCACTCGCCAAGGCTCATACCTTAAATTTTCTACTCGTGTCGTTAACACTATCTTTACGCAATCGTTGCGTAAACTACTATAATTTCATTGGATCAGCTGTCTTAAATTGTGAAATATGCAATAATAACTTTTCAGAACTACGCTTGTACAAGTAGTTCCACTCCGATTGTAAAATTTAATATTAGGGCTGTTTTTATGTTTTTTGTGTCTTTAATTATTGAGTTTTATGCATTACTTTTTATTATAATACTATATAATAATACTACTACTTTCTTATGATACTGGAAGATAATCAATAGATTATACAATTTGTTTTGTTAAAATACTGTAATTTTGATAAAACAATAACATGCCCTCTGAGTAAGTTGGACAGAACGTACCTCACAATCTTCTTTAGGTTAAGTATCAGGATAACACATCTACAAGGCAGTGTTTAATCTATTCTTGAAGCTTGTTTTGATGTAATTTCATCTTGAAGTAAGCGGGCTTATGTCGACTATTATCACTTGCAGAAGTACAATTTGTTCCCATATTTTAACACCTGAGGACGAGCGTGTATAGTTATGAATTGTTGTATTTAGTAAAATGATTTTAAATTTTGTTGAATAAAAGAAACAAATTCAGTAGTAAACAACCCCCTTCACAAACAGGACAGAATCACACCTTTACAACTATCTCCTCAGCTGATCTTTCAGTAGTAAACAACCCCCTTCACAAACAGGACAGAATCGTACCTTTACAACTATCTCCTCAGCTGATCTTTCAGTAGTAAACAACCCTCTTCACAAACAGGACAGAATCGCACCTTTACAACTATCTCAGCTGATCTTTCAGTAGTAAACAACCCCCTTCACAAACAGGACAGAATCGCACCTTTACAACTCTCTCCTCAGCTGATCTTTCAGTAGTAAACAACCCCCTTCACAAACAGGACAGAATCGCACCTTTACAACTATCTCCTCAGCTGATCTTTCAGTAGTAAACAACCCCCTTCACAAACAGGACAGAATCGCACCTTTACAACTATCTCAGCTGATCTTTCAGTAGTAAACAACCCCCTTCACAAACGGGACAGAATCGCACCTTTACAACTATCTCAGCTGATCTTTCAGTAGTAAACAACCCCCTTCACAAACAGGACAGAATCGCACCTTTACAACTATCTCAGCTGATCTTTCAGTAGTAAACAACCCCCTTCACAAACAGGACAGAATCGCACCTTTACAACTATCTCCTCAGCTGATCTTTCAGTAGTAAACAACCCCCTTCACAAACAGGACAGTATCGCACCTTTACAACTATCTCCTCAGCTGATCTTTCAGTAGTAAACAACCCCCTTCACAAACAGGACGGAATCGCACCTTTACAACTATCTCCTCAGCTGATCTTTCAGTAGTAAACAACCCCCTTGACAAACAGGACAGAATCGCACCTTTACAACTATCTCCTCAGCTGATCTTTCAGTAGTAAACAACCCCCTTGACAAACAGGACAGAATCGCACCTTTACAACTATCTCCTCAGCTGATCTTTCAGTAGTAAACAACCCCCTTGACAAACAGGACAGAATCGCACCTTTACAACTATCTCATCAGCTGATCTTTCAGTAGTAAACAACCCCCTTGACAAACAGGACAGAATCGCACCTTTACAACTATCTCCTCAGCTGATCTTTCAGTAGTAAACAACCCCCTTGACAAACAGGACAGAATCGCACCTTTACAACTATCTCATCAGCTGATCTTTCAGTAGTAAACAACCCCCTTGACAAACAGGACAGAATCGCACCTTTACAACTATCTCCTCAGCTGATCTTTCAGTAGTAAACAACCCCCTTGACAAACAGGACAGAATCGCACCTTTACAACTATCTCCTCAGCTGATCTTTCAGTAGTAAACAACCCCCTTGACAAACAGGACAGAATCGCACCTTTACAACTATCTCATCAGCTGATCTTTCAGTAGTAAACAACCCCCTTGACAAACAGGACAGAATCGCACCTTTACAACTATCTCCTCAGCTGATCTTTCAGTAGTAAACAACCCCCTTGACAAACAGGACAGAATCGCACCTTTACAACTATCTCATCAGCTGATCTTTCAGTAGTAAACAACCCCCTTGACAAACAGGACAGAATCGCACCTTTACAACTATCTCCTCAGCTGATCTTTCAGTAGTAAACAACCCCCTTGACAAACAGGACAGAATCGCACCTTTACAACTATCTCCTCAGCTGATCTTTCAGTAGTAAACAACCCCCTTGACAAACAGGACAGAATCGCACCTTTACAACTATCTCCTCAGCTGATCTTTCAGTAGTAAACAACCCCCTTGACAAACAGGACAGAATCGCACCTTTACAACTATCTCATCAGCTGATCTTTCAGTAGTAAACAACCCCCTTGACAAACAGGACAGAATCGCACCTTTACAACTATCTCATCAGCTGATCTTTCAGTAGTAAACAACCCCCTTGACAAACAGGACAGAATCGCACCTTTACAACTATCTCCTCAGCTGATCTTTCAGGTAAATTAATCCAAACGATGTGATCCATAAGCAAATTGCGTATTTTAAAGGGGTTCGATCCCGACCGAACCAAAACGAATAATAATACAGGTTCTCTTTTACTTTTCAAAGATTAATGATACAATTATTATGTGAATAAAACTACTAAATTAGAATAAATTACATTTGCTGCTTATATAGAACATGAATAGTGATAATTTACGAATACATTTTTTGTATTTAGTAAAATAACTTCTTTTACATAAACGGATTAGGAAAACACTGCGAGCATCATTATATAAATTGCATATTCCATTGAGTAAAACTAACTTAAACTTCGGTTAGATAACCAGTAGTTGGTTAGTAAACCACCAACATCTTCATGGACCGGACGAGAATTACCTTCTTCTTAGAGCTCACTCAAAAGAAAATTTATACTATAATTTGTTTAGTAATATGAAGATCATATGATTTATACTTTACTGTGTGTTATAATACCATTTAACAAGAAATGGTGTACATTTACATTATACACATACATCGTTTTAATTAATTCAACTAGTTTCAAAATTAAATGTCCCTACCTAAACCGGACAAAGCGTAAAGTTATGAGCTGATAAGGATGGTAAATCTATACGGTTTATGTTAAATGGTTTATCTACGCCTTCTCTCTCACACCGTCGTAGGGTGTGAGTGGCGCTGGCGGCGTGTTGTGTTGTTCAGTAGCGTCTCAACAATTCACCACTTCACACCACACCCCGGCTCAGTAGCGTCCTCGTCTCCGCGCCGTGCACATCATGACTTCCTCCGTGGGCCCGTGGACGTGGGTGTGTGTGATGGTGACCTGGGGGGTGGTGTCCAGGGGGGCGACCCCCGACAAGGAAGCGGCAGTCCGAGATGTCTTCCGGGAGATGCTTCACATCTCACCTCCAAGACAACCTGGAACCTCAAAAGGACGACTTCCTTCTGCACCCCGTCACATGGTTGAGTTGTACCATCGCTTCGTCAACGGCCAGGAGGACTACGCCCCGCTGGAAGGGGGCACGACCACTGTGAGAAATTTTCTTCCTTCTTCAGGTAGGAGATTTGTTTTTTGGGTTTTACACAAGATATTTTGTGTTGTTTGTTCACACACTTTAAAGTGGTATTATAACGTTTAGGCTTATGAAGAAAAGGGTAATCAACTGAAAGAGTCAATTCCAGTACCTGAAGGATGAAAATTCTGTGTTTGATTAATAGAAAACTTCGGCAATAATCCTTTAAAATAAAAAAAAGACCCTCAGAACTTCAAACCCATACTCTGAAATACAAAAAGCTGACTGCCAACCTTACGTTTTAGGGGGTCGATTTTACCGATGTAAAAATTTAATGGTATACAAGGGAGTAAAGTTGGTATTACGTAGAAAAAATGGAAAAAAATTAGGTTGCAAAAAAAGTTGAGGAAACAGACAATGGGTAAATCGAAATGCAAATCCTAGGACATTTACGTAGGTATAGCTGTTAAATAATGTTTACTAGGAATAAAAAAAGTAATTATTAGCTTAGTAGGTTTAATAGTTTGTGATTAATTTAAAACTTTCAATCATGGAGGTATGTTATTTTGCAAAGCATAAAAAATATCAATATATGAATTAACTAGCAGAGTACCCGTCCTTCGTACGGGGTTGGCAAATAAGTATAAACTGTTTATTGCAGTTATACCCGATCTTTGCGTTTGCGATGTGAGAAAACATGGTTTGAGAAAATTTGCTTTCTCAAATTTACGGTATACGATAGTATTACACATCTACCATAGCCATAATGTTCTACTACTTCACCTACACAATAGAGAAAGACAGATTATTAAAAAATCGCAAAATATAAATTATTCATGAAATTAAAAACATAAACATAACTGTAAACAATCCTTCTTTGACAGTTCTGATTATCACAGTTCGATAATGAGCATTTTCCGTGATAGTGCTGCACCCTGTTGGTAAATCTTATAATTTTTTAATGCTTTTGCATATCATAGAACCAACTCTTTTAGTTGAAACAGCTGGCTAAATTCTTTAATTCCCTTTAGACATGAATACTCATAAGGTCAACATGGGGAACTGCAGAGCCAGTGGGGCGGAGCCCAAAAGGATTTTTGAGATAAGAATATGCCTATATGTTAATCGGGAATGTGAGCTATCATCATGCCAAATTTCAGCCCAATCCGACCAGTATTTTTCTTGTTTACTTGTCACAAACATACATACATCCATACATCCAAACTTTCTATTAGTAGGATAAACAAAAACCATTATATTTCAATTATAGGTTGTTTACTATTGATATTGCTAATAAACTTATTCCAGCTGTATTCTTTTGACAATTTTTGTGGTTGTTTTCAAATTTTATTATATAGCCTATTCTACGGCAATTATTCAATTATTATTTTTGACGTTCAGCATGTGTGAACAGGTTTTGTACAACGCTGGTTGACAAAAAATACATGAGATGATATTATTTACAATTATTTATTACATCATTTAAGTGAGTAAGAAGAATAATATACGACAGACGTACGATATACAAAAATGTTTTTATTTTGCTTGTCATCCTACACAAAACAATTGCTAAACTTTATAAGAAGAAAGTTATAAATGGAAGGAGTTTTGGGAAATCGTTATCATTACTTAAAGAGAAGCATAACAGTTTCAAGTTCTTGGTTTGTTAATTATAAGATAAAGCGGATGTAACATGGGCATCTTTCTTCGTGTATAGCGACTTTGTTAAATATAAGTTTTTAGTTCAAACATTAAACTGTTTTCATTACAATAGCAAAAGGTTATAAAATAACGGTATGAAAATATATTTTGTTCAGTGGATACTGTAGGTATATGTAGGTACTGTAAATCAGTTTTTAGAAAAAAAAAATAAGCTGATTTTAATGTTTTTGTTGCCTTATGGTAAGACCAAGACCTGGACCCGGGGCCAATTTAATTTTTCGTTTCATATGCAAATGCCAAATGTATCAATTCGCACGATAACTCGAGTAAAAATCATCAGACTTTAATGGAATTTAGTAAAATCGCCTAAATTTGCGTTTATTTGAGCGAGTTACGAGGGGGTTTAGGGGGTTTTGGGGGCAAAAATGGAGGCTTACCGTTGTTGGCCCTCAAAATATAAAATTTCCCAATTTTTGCCCAGCCCATTTTGTAGAGCTTGGAGAAAACAAAATAATTATACTAAGTATATTAGAGCGTTATTTCATGCTTAAAGAGAAGCTAAATGTAAGTTTAAAATTACTATGTTGTTCTTATGAGGAATAAAAAAATTAATTCGCTTATAGGCTACCTAGGATGGTGTAAAAGTGGTGTCGATGCCCTCATGAAAATATTATATGTAGACCTATATGATGTTATGTAAAAAAAAGCATACTACTAAATGTATTTACTTCGAAAAACAATTTCGGAAGTCAATTGTTTGGTAAAACGAATCCTAAAACTAAGTTTAATGTGGCGAATAACTAATCATTGATTATTATAAATGTCACATAAAAAAGATACTTAAAGAGCCCAAATGCTTCGATTAGGGCAAGGCCTATTTCCTAGCAGCTATTAAACGTTTTATAGGAGTATATTTTATTTCTGAGATAAAAGAAAAATTATAATATTTAGCAAATTTTGTTTATCAAACATATCCTTGTTGTTAATTACTAAATAATTTTCAATAATGTAAATATTTTATCGACAAATAACTTACAAAGAGCTGGTTAAAATATGGCAAATCTTAGCAAGTTAATATCACTTTTCCCGTTCCAAAATTCAAGACCCTTAAATCGTAGATCGTATACCATCGATAAAAAAATAACATACACAACTTTTCCAATGATTTTAGAAACAAAAGTCAACTGCAACCAGCTTAGTTTTTAAATATTGCCTTTGATTTAATTGAAGCAGCTGTGTAGCTAACCACCACTAAATTACAACGTATAATAAAGTATGCCATGGTCAAGTTTAGGAAAAATAGGAATATATTTTTTTCCAGCAACAAAGCACACATGAAATACATAGGACAATTGTTTGAGATATAACAATAGGATAAAAACTCATACTTCTGCTTGTTGCAGTATCAAAAGTCCATGATAGACTTAAGGTAAAACCAAACAACATACTGTGAGTAGTTTGTCCTGTAAACAAAAAACCATCAAAAGTCCCAAACCTAACAATATTGAAATTGTATAACTGTTTCCACAGAAATATGTCTGGAAAATAATTCTCTTAAAACTCGATATAGACCATAAACATCAAACAAAAAATTAGGAACTAAACAAATCCTATAACTAATGACATTAAGATATAGTTTGACAGTTCCGTTTACTTAATGTTAAATAATTTTTACATTTAGACGAGTGACTTCATTTATTTATGTTTATGATCCATACAATTTCAGCTCTAATATTCATGCAGTATTTAATATGTTTGAATCAGCTGTGTGGAATTGTGAATTAAAAATTCACTAGTAAACACGTTGCTCGAAATCGAGCAATTTCAAAGAAGTAAATAAAAGTCATTATAATTTCCGATGAGTTTAATAGTACATTTCGTACCTAGGGCCGAAAATGAGGTTTTGCCGGCTCGAGATAGTTTTTAAGTTCGAGACGAAGTCGAGAACTTAAATCGATCGAGAGCTGCAAAACCATTTCGGTCCGCGGTACGAACGCTATTTTTCACCACACTATACCCTATTACCACTATTCACCACTATAATAATGCACATTGATAGTCAACACAACTACAACTTTAAGGTTATGTGAAGAAATAATTATTGAGGAATCAGCAAAAATAAAAATAAATAGTTGCTAGGCAACGGTGACAATAACACAATTCTGTGGATTTTTATTGTGTATTTAAAATGCATTCATGTTTTAAGTAAGTAAGCGGACAGCTGATTTTGCGGCCCCGGGCTGTAAAAACCTGCTCGGTCCCCAAATTACGATGACAGCTGGCATGGCCAGCAAAACGCAACTTTCAGCCACCAATTAACGTATGTAATACAGCCAAAAACATCATAGTGTGGTGAAAAAGACTTTGAATCGAAAAATAAATAACAGCAATTAAATTATACAGCTGATCAAAATGTAAACAATTATGTTCTTCATAAGGATAACATGGGAACCTTAACAGCCACTGGGGCAGAGCCCAAGGGACTTCAAACAAAATTAAGGTCAGTTATCATATCTACGCGACACGCTGTTTCCAATGAGACGTCAATGGATAAAATCGGTTAAGCAATGGCGGAGGAGTTCAAATGACAAAGTTTCATGTAGCGTATTAATTATATAGATTTGACAGTTCTGCTTGTTTACATTTAAACTTTGTGACATTGTAGGCTACTTTGTTGCCATCATGGATATCAATGAATATTTACTTTTATAACGCTGACCTCAGAACTTTGAAAGCCCATGGGGCAGAGTCCTGGGTCAATATTGCAGATTGAATAGTTCTACAGTAACCTCGGAATCGGAGCTGTAGCATTTATTTTTTTATATGAGCCCAGTTGGTTCAGTAGTTTTTGAGTTTAGTTTAAACAAATACACACACACAGATAGACACACACCAATTTCTTCTTTATAACAGTATAGTATAGATAATTCACATTTTAATGTTATTTTAATAATATTGACCGTTAATTGTATTACTGTATTTGCTTGGAGCATTACTAACTTTAAAGAATCACAAACAACATGTTTTTTCGCTGTATATACATATATAAAATACTTATTAAACATTAAATTAGCTACATAGTTTTAGAGGCTCATCTAACAGTGGGTAAAGGCAAGTCAGTATAGACAAGGCGCTAGCTTCAGTACAGTACTTTTCTGTGTTCGTTGTATAGTACAGGGTATCAATGAAAACAACTCACAAAAATGCCAATGGAGGTAAATTATACAAAATAAAGTAAAGATCAAACAGAAATTAGAGATAGATTGAAGGTTGAAATAGTGATGTGTACAGTATAACAAAAAAAGAGATTTAAGTCAGTGCGTTACCGTATGTCGAATAAACAATAAGATATTTTATTATTACAAGAAACGATTTACTCAT